GTGCTTCTTGGCTTTCCAGCACAGACTGGTTTCACTGACGGAGAGAAATCTCTATTGAGTTCACTCTAGGCATTTGACGGCACACACCCACCGTGTGGAATTTGGAAACCAAGTGCCCTTGCCTGCTACGATCGATACTTGGTCCATTAACCCTCGCATGCTTTCAACTTGAGGTTGGGAACAGGTTCAACTTCCTATAATCGAATATACCAGTCCCACTCTGACTGACAAAGTGCCCCACGGAATACTTAGGTGGGCCAAAAAAGAAGAGATCAGGCCCAAATGGTTGTCGCCGTACCAACAAAGTTCGTGGTTTAGAAGTGACTATTCTTTACGTTCAAATTATCATGTAGGTGCATGTCCATTTAGTTTTACTGAAACCATACTGAAATCGCACATGCTCTTCCAGCAAGTTGATCAATACCTAGATGTACGTAGCCAGGTCTGTGTCCAATACAACGACTCAATTCATCGAGACCGAAGAACGTTTGCTTACCTTCAGATCACGGTGGACTATATTTTTCTGATGACAATATTCGACCGCGGAGAAAAGTTGGCGGAATAACTTCTGAGCTTCTTTCTCGGGCATTCGTCCGATTCGAAGGAGATGATCAAAAACTTCGCCTGTATTGCAATGCATTCAGAAAGATGATAACGTGTAGAAACTGGGGATAAATGAGTCTGCAGAAAACTTAAGTTTTTTTTAAATTCCATGATCCTCCCTGAAAATCTGCACATCACGATCGGACATCTTAGGAGACGCTCCAAAATGTCTTGCCAAGAGACAGCAATCAGGCAAAAAGGTCCCCACAAAAGAAGTGGATATCGTGTGAAGTAACACATCAGTTTGTCAGTCGGTAAAAAGAGGAATCAAACAAATGCTGGTCTCAAGGTCAAATGCACCCCGGTGTGGCTCTGTGCTACAGCCTATCTCAGGAATCCTGGGATCAGTCGACCAAATACGGATGTTCCATCCAGAGTAAAACCTAACGATAAGTGGGAAGAACGGCAAGTGCATCCAGCAAAGGCCTTGATAGTGATTGCCATGTGAGTGGAAATTCCTTCGGTGTTTAAGACGCAACTAACAGCTGATCCGTCAGTCAGCTTTCATCTCATCAAATCATGGTGCAGTGGGTCTCACAGCGATCGGAGTTTGAGGTATGTTGACGTGCTACACTTGTGACAGCACGTCAGGTGACGCAGATAGTCTGTCAAACCTGGCAAAGGCAATCTTGATGAAACGAAAGGCCTGGTAATCGATTAACCACAAATTCAACCAACCCTATTATCAGGGTTCTCATAGTGAAGGAAGGCGTAAAAAGGTAATATTGCATTGAAACCATCCAGTGGAAGATAAAACGATGCCACGACAACTTTTGTGAAGCAATACAGATACAAAAACGCGCATAATTTTAAGCGAGAGAAGGATGAAACTTGCAGTTGAGTACGGACGCTACCGGAAGTCATATACCATCCTGGACAGACTGGTTTACCTGCAATCGAGAATGTCCGTTTGATCTTTTTTTACTAAATCACTTTTGTAACTGACCTCCTATCGCGATGGATTTCTAGGAATCAATCAACTAAAGCATCGTTGTGATGCAGAAAGGAGAAAATTGTGGGCCTTGAAACCCACTCTGGTGCAGTGGAACGGGACTTGAAATCTTGCCTTTTGACAAGCGCCATTACCATTGTAAGTTCAAGGTAAGTCAGAAAACACGTAGGTGTATTGAGTACACCCGAAACCTACCGTTTTTGGCGTATTCCATCACTAGGTAAACGTGTCTGGTCGTTTCGATGACTTCGTATAACTTTACTGAAACAGAAGGATGATGGAAAATTACTGAAAACGACCAGTGTGCAAACGATCGGAGACAGACCAACCCACGTTTTGGTGAAAAACTGTAAGAATCAAAGATCTGTGCTTGTGTGTTCTTTCAGGAAGATGACCACAACCTAGATTGCGCTT